TCTACTGGTTGAGCTGCTCATTTGATGATCATTTAGCTGACCAGCGGAGGATTCATCATCCCTGTTTCCTGTCTCTCTGTCCTTCCTGAGACCCTCTCTGACTCTCAGACTTACACTTTACTCAATCTCTAAACTTTGGCCTATGACCTATGACCTTTGACCTATTTGCCCCAGGACAAGAGGGACCACTCAGCACTTTAGAACTCCCCCACCCTCCTCCAGTGTTGAGAGGATCTCAGCAGAGGAGGTGTGGATGCAACTGTTCACAGTTCTGAACCCTGATGTTTCTAGAGGATCGTGTGCTGTCATTAGCATTAGCCTCTGTAGCAGCCTAATCATCAACCCAAACCTCCAAATCATAACTCTAATCCCAACCCCAATCATAGACCTTTAACTCTAATCCCAACCTCTCAAAACTAATCCAAGCCCTCAACTCTAATCCTATCCCTTCAATATTAACCCCAACCCTTACCATAACCATCACCTCTAACACAGTCTACACTGGGTCGCACATGCAAGTGGCACAACACATCAAAAGCCAATAACACTCATTACAATCAATGCTGTCTACAATAGATACATTCTGATGCATTGCACCGTAAACTGATGCCCCAATTTCTGACATACTACATGGGCTTGTCCAACTTCCGACAAAATGACAAATTGATTTGGAATGTTGACTTTAAAGTGTCCCATGTAGACAGCCTCACTCTCGTGTCAACCGATGTGCTCGGTGTAGAAATGGTGTAATCATAAACTTCCAACTCCACTACCAATCCTAACCTTAAATATCCAGCTCTACTCCCAAACTTTAACCCTAAATGTACAACACAAATCCCGATCTTACCACAAACCTTCTCCATCCCTAATCTAAACCCCCAACCCTAACGAGCCGACAGTAAAAAAAAAAAAGTGAAGTGACGTGACGTGGCCAAGTATGGTGACCCATACTCGGAATTAGTGCTCTGCATTTATCCCATCCAAAGTGCACACACACAGCAGTGAACACACACACACCGTGAACACACATCCGGAGCAGTGGGCAGCCATTTTTTGCTGCGGTGCCCGGGGAGCAGTTGGGGGTTCGGTGCCTTGCTCAAGGGCACCTCAGTCGTGGTATTGAAGGTGGAGAGAGCGCTGTACATCCACTCCCCCCACCTACAATCCCTGCCGGTACGAGACTCGAACCCGCAACCTTTGGGTTACGAGTCCGACTCTCTAACCATTAGGCCACGACTTCCCCATACCCCGTAACCCATACCCTTACCATAAACCTCCATCATGAATCCTAACCCTCAACTCTAACCCTAAGCCTCTGAACCTACAAACCTGTACCTCCAACATGAATCCCTACCCCTTACCATGAGCCTCCATCATGAATCCTAACCCCCAACTCTACCCCTAAACCTTCAACACTATTCTGAACCACCAAATCCTAACCCTGTAACACTGTTACCATAAACATCCATGACTAATCGTAACCTAAAATTCTAACCCTAAGCCTCCAACACTTATCTTAACCCCCAACCGCGAACCTTCTACATGAATCCCTACCCTTGCCAAAAGCCTCCGTCACTAATCTGAACCCACAACCATAAACCGCCAATGGTAATCTCTGCCCTTAGCATGAATCTCCATCACTAATATGAACCCCATAACTCTAAACCTCCATCAACATTCCAAACATCCAACACTTACCCTAAACCTTCAGCTCTACTCCCAACCCAAACATTAAACCCCCAATACTAACTCTCACCTCCAACCTTAATTGTAACCCTTAACCCAACCCCAGTGTGAACTTAACATCATAACCCCCACATATCATATTTGAAATATCCCCACCTTATTTATCAGCTATAATATATTCTGTACAATGTAACGTGCCCCAGTTTTATGTTTTTAAGTGTGAGGTTTGTCCTTTGTATTGTGTGATAATTTGTGTTGATAACATTTTTTTGTTCGTTTACTGTTTGCTATTTCTCCATGTTCATCTCTAGAGGTCAGACGTGCTTTTGTAAGACTAGAAGAATCCAGCCCTGGTGTCTATCGTGAAGTGTCTTGAAGTATCGTGAAGTGCTAATGTAGAGCAGGCTGAGGACTCTGTGATGTTAGTGGAGGGTGGCAGATTGTGGCTATTGGAACTGTTAATTACACCTTGGTGGCTAAAGAAGCACAGTGGCCCTACAGGATAGCTGCCCTCTAAACAAATCCAGAAAGACAATAGCTGAGGAGGAAATAAACCTTACCTTTATTAAGATAGACTTTTCTGTGCAATATAAATCAATGTCTTTGTTGATCTGTTGTTTAATTCTGGACTAGGATGTCATATCTGATTTAGTCTGATCTTTTCTCTTGGGCTGGCGATGGAAGAGAATCGACTGCGCCTGTGTGATCAATTTTCTGCTTGTGGACCAATTTGCATAATCTGCTTTTCCTTGAGGGCAGAAGTTGTTTAGACTAAATAATTCAGATAAATTTGATTTAGGCTTTCAGAAGCCCACAGATATTCTCAATATAAGCTTTTCTGCAGCAATCAACCTCAGCGACTGGATGAATAAAGGAAAAGGGAAAGAAAGGCTGTCAAAAACTAGCTGCACATTGGTAACATGAACCAACATACTCATTTCCTCAGTATTACAGAAATTTTAGAGTCAGAATATAATGTTGCTAATAACGTCAAGAGTAACGTCATCATTGGGTGCCTTGCACAATGCTGCCATCTATAGGAAGGATTTGCAGTAGGCACAAGGGTGTGGAGCAAATATCACACCACCTCATCAGGATTTAGGAGATGCTCTTCCGCTGTAACTATAGCAACAGTCTTTCCCACACTCTATTCATTACCAATGCAAATTACTGGTAAGTTTGCTGGCAAAAAGTTGTAAATCAAAGTACAACTAATTTGTGTGCTAATACCCACACCAGCAGTTACGCGTCCAGGACTTTGTCTGTGTTCAGTGATATTTGCAGCCATAAACTGAGTATATATAAGTACAGATATACATTTATTCAAAAGTATGTTGAATATATGTATATATATTTTAATCTGTCTTACAAATTATTTATGAACAATAACTTGATTGCAAAAATTGAGTATACTTTTCCCTGTGTCTCCTGTGCAAACTCCTTTTGTAGAGGAACTCTTAAATATTCTCTGTCAGAGAATTCAGAGAAAACTCATGAATTATTAATGAGAGGAGTTTCGTCCAATGGTTGCGGTCTCTCCTGCCATTACTGTTCATTTAGCTCTTATTTTATACAGCATGTGTCAAAGGCCTGTACTCTGCACGGGGCAACAAAACACATACCCTGTATCCTCTGTTATAAAAAAAAAGACAAAAGCACTTTTGCCACTGGTGGACTAATACTTTCCTGTCAAATTGCACTTATTGCGAATATTCTCAAAAGTGAGCACATGCTTGTTTATTGACGATGTCAGCAATGCGCTTAACCTGAATATAAGCCGACAGAGCAGTCGTGATGTCAGTAATGTCAGTGAATATGAAGGGCGGTTTATGAATGAGCAATGACTCAGCTGGGGTGTGTTTACTCTGTCCTGGCCTTACATATAAGAGCAGGGACACCACACAAACTTCACTACGCACCCTCGCTAAATAAAGGCTTTGTAAATCCCAGTTGATGGATGAAAGTAAAGGATTTGCCCATTTGACTGAGCTGAAAGCATCTTCAAGATCGTTATGAAGGTCTGGTTTAATATCTTATAGCTTATTGATGTGACCCTTTCTTCACTTGACCTTTTTTCTAAGACTGATATGAGATCCTTCTTTATATTTTCGCTTGATAAAAATCAGTTTGAAATATGATTTGTGAGCTGTGATATAATTCTGTGTTAAAAACGAATAAAGAATGTATTTCCGTAATTGTTGAAGTGTAAGATTCAGCAAGCACTCACACACAGTTTGCTCAAAGTAAAATAATAAAATATGCGTATGCTTTAGTTTTTACACAAAACGGAGAAAGATCAGGATTCAAAATCTGGGTCAAAAATGGATAAACCAATGGGTCAAGCATTGGCTGATTAGCATAGTCTAGTTAGCCCCTGCTGGTAGATAATAAAACACCATTATGTAGGTATAATGCATTTTTGACTGGCATTTGACATTGGCATTTTTTAACACTTAAAAGCATGAAATAGTCCAACTGCAATGACTTCCTGATTTTTTTTTCCTGATCTTTTCCTTATATAGTGCATTAATACAAGTAATCAGTTTTGAGTGTCTTTATAGCCCCTTTCACACAGTAATACCAGTAAATTGCCGTAAAATTACTGGAACAACTTTACCGGTAAATAAAAAAATGTGCTGTTCACACAGACAATGGTGTTCAGTGTTTTTACCGGTAAAGCACCATTCACACATTGGTTTCAAATTACCAGTTCTGTGACATCATTAACCAGAAATGACTCAAACGGCTGCGCTTCCCGGTGTTGTGTTTGTAAACATGGAATGGTACACGCGGTCAGTGTTTTTGTTGATGTTTTCATTTTTGTGTCAAATGTTCCCATTCATGCTGCACTTTTGGTCCAGAGACATCGAATTAGACGACTTCAAACCGAACTACACCGCACGGAGTAAAAGCGTCATCTGTGTCAGAATATTCTGCGTTTACACACAGCATCATTCCGGCAATTTACTGGTAATGTTACAACTTCTCATACCGGTAAATTGCCAGAACGCATTTACTGGTATTTTTGAAAAGGTCTGTTCACACATGGTCTCTAAATGGTAATTTAACGGTAAATTATCAGTAAAGCCTGTATGTGTGAAAGGGGCTTATGAGTACAGAAGAAATAGCACAAGCAAAGGTCATGTTGAGGAAAGGAGATGTTCATGAGGACATGAACTCCATAAATGGTTGCACATCCATACATGGGCACATGTGCGAACACACACTTAAAATGGACAAAGATAATAGCATCTCAATGGGCCGTTTTTCATCAGCACAGACTAATATAGAAGAACAAAAAGATTGAAAGATACCTCCAGCAACTGCTGTCTTTTTGTTCACAGAGACTGTAACAGACGTGACAGCAATCACAAACCTGCCATCCACTGCAGGGAAAGAAGAAAAAAAAATACTGAGCATGATATTCTAAACAGGGTGTAAAATTGTCTGTATGATGTGGATTGCAGGGTGCAGGCTACCTTGTGTGCTGTCCTCTATAGGGACATAATACAAAAATCGTCCAGATGGATTCTCTGCCGCACGACGATACCAAACAGGGAAATGGTCCAGAGTAAAAATATTCTCCTTATCTGGTGGAGATAAGAATTTTCTGAGGGAAGAAAGAGATTCATATCAGAGTATGTGTACGTATGATGATATATACAGTATTGTATATACTAGTATAGTATATATATAGTATAGTATTTAGATGGAACTACTTGGTCAATGCTTTATTTACAGTACCTTGATTGTATATTAATATAGTTTAATATACATGTTCTGTTTTACTGCCTGTTCCTCTTTATATTTCCAGTGTTGGGTGTATTTTAGATTGCATACTGATGAAAGTTATATGAAGTGCTGTGGGAGTGGGTGGCCTTAAGAAAACCTATGACAATGCAGATGCTGTCTATGCGGTTGAGTCGTGACGCAGACAGCAGGAGCTCTTGATTAAAGGTACTCACTTCGCCACACGTTTCTCTGCGCCGACATATCTGATCATTCTCACGAGGCCAGAGCGTGTGCCCAGGAACGCCGTCTCCACACCCCCATCAATACTGCACACGACGGAGGCGAGTAGAAGAATGAGAAAGGTCACGGCCGAGCATGTATTTGACTAATGAAACTTGTCTGTGACGCTGTGTGCGTGGGTGGAAAGTTTTACCCGGAGGCATTGAGCATCAGTGCGGTCCAGTAGGCTTCCATAGGAGCTGTGACCACTGCGTCAAACAGAGTCTGCTGCAGAAGTCTTTCATCACCTGAAGAACAGACAGAACAGAACTCAACTGCGGATATCGTCAATCATCATTCAGATCAAACTGTGTTTAATTACAGAACAAAATGGTTATGATGTATACAGAGAATAAAAGGTACAAAGATATGAGATGATTTACATGTGCAACTAATTGATTAACTCTGTTCCACTGTTTGAACAGAGTATTTATATTGTGTTTGTTGCTTACACAGTTCATGCAAAAATGAAATTTCTATCATCATTTACTCACCCTTAAGTTATTCCAAACCTGTATGAATTTCTTATGTTGAGCACAAAAAAAACAAACATTTGCTGGTAGCCATTGACTTCCACAGTATGGTAAAAAAAATACTATAAAAGTAAATGTCTACTGTCAACTGTTTGGCTACCAAATATCTTTTGTGTTCAACAGAAGAAAGAAAATCATACATGTTTGGAACAACTTGAGGGTGAATTAAAGGGGTCATATGATGCGATTTCAAATTTTTTCTCTTTGGAGTGTTACAAGCTCTTGGTGCATAAAGAAGATCTGTAAAGTTGCAAAGACTAAAGTCTCAAATCCAAAGAGATATTCTTTATAAAAGTTAAGAGTCAGCCACACCTACCTAAAATGTCTCGTTCTAACACGCCCCCACATATCTACGTCACTATGTGGGAAGATTTGCATAACACGGCCCAAATTTTCACGCAAATAAAGAAGGCGTAACTTTTATTCTCGCTGTAGTATTTTTGTTGAATTATGTCCCCACTGGATGCAACGAATGCCTCGTTTATAATGGGTTTTCATGTTTTTGAATCATCGCTCCGGCCGGACAGGGCATCATCACAATGTGGTAAGGGGGCGTAACATTTCCGTCACACGCTTGAGGTATTCGGTCAATCACAACGCACTGGATAGCTGGCCAATCACAGCACACCTCGCTTTTTCAGACCGATGAGCTTCGAAAATCGACGCGTTTCAGAAAGGTGGGGCATAGAGGAGAAACAATAATGTACAGTATGTGGAAAATAATGTGTTTTTTTAACCTTAAACCGCATAAACACATTGCATTACACCAAATACACAAAATAATGTTATTTTTAGCAGCATCATATGACCCCTTTAATGATGACAGAATTGTAATTTTGAATTTTCATTCATTTTATCACCTTTTTTGATGAAATGCTTTTGTTTTTGCTTATTTGTAATTGAACATGATTATAAATAAATGTAATGATACAAGTAAAAACTGAAATGCCAGGTAAAAACTTATAGTCTAGAGTCCAAAAGACAGAGACAGAGCTCACATTCCAGGTCTGGTTCTTTTCCAGTTAGGTACTGAACCACAGCCTGAAACTGTGTCAGTTTGTGGTGATGTGGATCGATGTCAGTCTCACAGTATGTCCTGAAATATCAAAAACCATCAGATTAGGGTATATTACGGCATTTTAGATGTTAGAAACAGCCTAACATGGTTTTTAGCCTTCGATAACATCTACCATTCATTAGCAATAGTGACATCAGAAGCAGTCAGGTCATGTAGGCCTGTAGACAGAAGAAAAAAAAAAGGAGAGGAGAGGAATTGAGGCAGGCAAATGATCTGTATTTTGCAGGTACTAATCTGAACATCTTTACCTTCTTCAGCTGAAACATTTCCGATGAAAACATTCTTCCCATGACCTTTGGTAAGTACAATTCCAAAACTGATAACAAAGATGCACAATATAAGTCCAGAAGTCTCACACTTAGCAAAGATTTAAATATGTTTTTATCACTGTTCACCTGAATGGAGTTTCATTAATGGTAGTGTAAAAATATTCATTTTTCAGGAAAACAACTCTCTTCTGAGAAGGGAACACATCAGCATGTAAGTATGACAGTCACAGCTAAGTTATTATGAGAGAAAAATGAATGAATTCAATTAAGGTTAACATATAAGAAGCTAATTAAAGGCCAAAATCAACTCACTCCTTTCTCTACTGTTGTTCTGACGTCCAGAGAGATTGTCCCACTTTCCCCTTTTACCATCGCTGTTCTCAACTAGAGGATCAAAACACACAAACACCTTGAAGCAATTGATCTAAAAATGGCATGATGAGAGTTTATTTATATGTATGTATGTATGTGTTGTTCCACTTACTGCATCTTCTGTATCTTCCCACTCCACCTCTGACAGATCCACACTGTTATAGTTCGGCTTTGGCTTCAGCTTCTTACCATCTTTATACTACCACAACGTATAGAAAATATCAACTTCAATGTGATACAAACTAATAACAAGGTAATCAGCTCTTATGGGCAATATGTGTAAGATCACTAAAGGGAATATTGTGGAGCTCACCAGAGGTCGAAGGTCAGGATGAGAGAGTATATAGCCATTATTAGTGTTTAAGAATGCATAGCCATGAACTCCCAGCTAAAATGGCAAAGATAAGTCAAAACAGCAAATCATTCAGTAAAATCACATTTATTTTTCCGTCTGCAGTCTAAACAATCAGCAATTGTCACTCTGTTTGCAATAATCTCCAAGGATACAGCCTGCCTTATCAATGAAAAGATATTAGATGTGATTAGTGTTAGTGTAAACAGAGGACTGAAGACATTATGAAGGCACCTTGTATCGAGGAGCCAATCTCATGAGCTCTTTCAAAGGGACATCCGTGCCAACCACACCAAGGAGGATCCCATGAGACAACTACAGACAAGAAAGAGCTCATTTAGAATTATGAACAATAAAAATCTCTAAATTTTAATTTAATATTGTAGCGGTATATATTTGACAAACATGTTAAGAGTGTTGTATATTGTATATTTAATATTTTCGTTGGATTATATGAGAGTTTACGTTTTATAAGGGATGATTTTAAAACGGATGTGACGAGCTTCCAGTATAGTGTACACTGTACATTTTCCAAGATCCCAATATCACGAACTCCCAATGTAGTTTAACATGCCACATTAACATGAAAAAACTTAAGCTGTGAGCGTTTTAATTAATCCCGGTGATTCGCATCGCTAAAAAGAGTTGTTCAGTTCCCTTTCTGCAATTTACAGCGGTACGCCAGGAAGTGACTGTGTTTTTCAGTGTTATGAGTGATTTTTTTTAATCATTCAGTTAGCCATTTAAGCCATTTTATCATGACAACTATAATGTCCTTATGTAATATATCATTTTAATTATGTATTTCATTTTTACACATGACTAATTCTTCTGCCCTCCTTGTTGAATGAGACTGAATTACATGATAAAACTGTATGAAAGAGATTATGTGTGTGTGTGGAGCCACACTTTTCTCTAATAGTATATTAGGCAGGTTGGGAGAGCTGAAGATTTTAAGTTTGTTTTTTTGGCAACTCACCGTTTCTTCTTTCTTGCTGAACACAGGCATGGCCACAGAGGTCATCAACAGCAAACTCTCAGCCTGTGTGTTAAAAAGCTGAAAGAAGAGAGAGAGCGAGGAAGAGAGAGACGACATAGACTGAATTAATGGTAAATCCCAGCCAGGCCTGTGAAGTGGACAGCAAGCTGAACAAGACCATAGAACACATCCATTAAGAGCAGGTGCTTCTCTGGTAGGTAAAATCAGTTTCTTATTGTTCTACCAAATGGCAAAATACAGTAACTACACCAACACTGAAACTGAGAAAATGGCATCAGAGTTTCTTATTGAATTAATATCAATTTTCTGAGTGTGTGGAGCCAAACAGTGGAGTCAAACCCATCTGTCACAAGACAGATCATAGTCTAAGAGACCTGATTTTCAAGTAGTGTAGTTACTGTCTCTTGCCTTTGTAGGGCAGTGTAGCCATCTTCAAAATGTACACCCACAGAATTCCAAAGAAACATCTCCAGATTTCCACAGAATTCAAATCTTCAAAAAAGTCAAAATCTTACAAATTCAAATTTGCCCTCTCAGCTCCATGTAACACATTTAAATCCCATAATCAATGAAAATATGTGTAGCACTTAAAATAATTTAGTCTGCATATCACATTAAATGTAAGACTTGTCAATCACCTAGAATACACTGTCTTTAGCAAAAAAGAAAGAAAGAAATTCATAAAAAATGCATTCCTAATGGATTCACTAAACAGCACGTTACATCTAGACCTGTAAATGGAATTTGTGAGAATTCCTTTAGTTTTTGACTGAAAATCTACCAGACATTCGATTAAATTAAAACCTTCACAGGCATCAGAACTTCTAATTATGACTAAATTGTATCTAACAAGGAACTTTTAGGAACTAAATGACAAGAAAACGTGAACTACTGCTTTAAGGCATACAGGATCATTTTTGATCTACTGCGCAGAACGAAAGCGTTTACCTCAGCTGTATTGGGTAGCTGGAATGGGATGACAGACATAATGAAGTAACAGACATAATGAGATCACTCTCAGGAAAGAAATCACAACATGAGAGGTTCAAAATTAATGAAGGCAAAAATGATCAACATGCAGTTTTGGGACAGTATGAAACATCACCTTTTGTGTACAGTACTAACATGTTCAAAAGGAAAGATTGAAGGAGAAAAGGTAAGCAGCTCACCACACTGTCCATGTAAGCCTCTGTCCAAATGATGTCATGATCATGGTTGATGACCATTGGCCTGCTCAGCACATGAAGATATTCCATCACATTCTCCTGTACATCCGCCAGAGTAGAGATATGAGTGTAGTAATCTAATTACAAGCACACAAAAACAGCAGTAATGAGAAAATGTGATTGATTGATGTATCTGTTACCAGCAGAGGGCATAGCTGTCACACAATTTAATTATAATTCTGTTAGAACAGATTGTGGAAAGGGAAATATCAAGATTTAGTTACATTGTTATTTCCAGGCTTGAAGAAGGCAGGGAAATTAATAAAATCTAAAAAGTCATGGAAATTTCTATTGTCAATATAATTTTGCACAGGTCTGTCAAACTGCCTTTAGTAATCAGCGTTGTTATTGTTAACTAAAACTAAATTAAAAAAAAGAAAGGTAATTGAAATAAAGTAAAATATATATTAAACTTTAATAAAAACAATTAAACTTTTAATAAACTGAACTTAAAAATTAGAAATGTTGCCTTGGAAACAGAAATGAGGTACTAAAAATTTGGGAAAAGAAATGAATGAACACTATATAGAAATATAGTGACCTATACCCACCCCCACCCACCAAAAAAAAAAAAAAAGAAAAGAAAATGACAAAAGCAAATAAGAAAACTTGTAAAATCAAAACGAAAACTGAAAATATATTTTTTAATTTTTTTTTGTTCATCCCTAAAAATTAATGGAAAATGAAACTATGGTGCTTAGAAAAGGCTGTGTAGGAAATCAGCTGTGTAGGAAACACTGGAAATAAAGTCATGCATCATAAATACTGTACAAAGTGTGCACATTTTCTGTACAAATAATAGACCTCACTAGCTCAGGTAGTCTCCCACAATGCTCAGGTTTAATTAAGGTAGATCTCACCTTTATTGTTGCAAGCAATCCATTTGACATTGCCAGCAAATGTTAACTCTCGTCCAATCAGATATGTGAACACGCGCACCTGTTTGAGAGCGTATTGTGTTATCATTGTGTTATATGCACACAGGTAAAGCGAGTATCCATAGTGTGTGTTTGTGTGCGTTTGGTACCTTGCGTTCTGGCCAGTTGAACTCTTCAAACACCTGCTGGAAATCTTCCATGGCTCCATCAGTGATCAGCATGATTGCCTGGTTACATAAACTCCCCTTGCCTTCTGCTGCTGCCTACACACATAAACAAACTTTTGATATATCAACATTTCCATATGGATATACATTCCTTCCCTCAAACACTAACACACCTCGTTGAGAATCTTGAAGGACTCTTTTATGGCTTTCTTCACCTTTCCTTCACCTTTCACTTGCAACTCCTCCACCAAAAGTTTGAAGTGCTAGAAATAAATAGGATGCCGAAAATATTAAAATCTCATATGGCAGCTGAATTCACTGCTCTGTGCAAGTGAAGAAAATGTTACCTCACGGTTATCCAGGTCGGCCTGTACTAGTGTGCCTTTAAAACAGGGCTCTACATACCGGACGTAATCACTGTGCTAGAAAGACAGAAAATATTAGGTGTTATTTAAGATAATAACCCAGATTTACATAGAGGAACTTGCCACTTGATCTGATCATGTCTGGTTAGGACACAGCGTAGAGGATTTCTGTTCTTACCGCAATGACGTTGACAAAGTCATTTTCGCCAAGTGTGTCTAGAATGGTGTTGATGGTGTGTTTAGCAATGGTGAGCCTCAAACCCTTCATACTACCGCTAATGTCCACAGCGATGATAATATCTTTGGGGGACGTGGCTGCCTGGATGTACCTGAGAAGGAGAAAAAAAATGATGGAAATCTTTTTTAAAGGGCTTTTTGAAATGCTTACAAGATCAGATCAGTTTTGTTAACTGCAACCATTAAAATTTTTTTAATTTTAGTGAAATAAAGCTGAATTAAAAGATAAATATTAGATGAAAAACCTAAGCTGGCAATAAAGAAAATGTAAATAAATTAATGAAAAAATAAATGAAAGCTAAATAGAGGTATTTAAATAAAATAACAAAATTACCAAAACTAAAATTAAAATAAAAACTCTAAACATAAAAATAAAAGCTAATTCAAAATATGAATGAATGCTAAAATAGTATATAAATAATACTAGCTCACATGGCCATTGACAAACACGCGAGACCTTTCACAGTAATAATTCCTCAACCGGATAACAGCGTGTGAAATCTCATCTACGTAATGTTCTGAGAGAAGGAAGTAATGAGATCACAATAAGAAGGTGACAGAGAGACTGAAACAGCAGTAGCCTGGTATACACATTTTTAATTAGCTTACTTGTGTTTATGTAACTTAATAATGTAACAGAACTACTCAAATTTCATAAGCGCACCACAGTGATCACTCTAGCTGTTCAGATATAGGAACGGAACACAAGACAAAAGGTTTGTACTCCGCGTTCGTTACTGCTAAAGAGATTGCGTGCATTAGCTGTAATAACATTAGTCCTGGCAGAAGGTGTTTGAGGAAACTGGGCAGATGCAACTGTCAGTCACGGAAAGGAATCCAGATTAAAATCTTTCACTGAGATCAGTCCTTCTGCTCCTTGACCCTGGACTGCAGCCAAGTCTTGATGTCTCCTTGAGTTCTCGATAGTTAATAGAGGTGAAAGACTTCTATCACAATCAGTAATCCAACGTTTGTCGCTGTTTTGAACTTATACTACCATGACCGTCACATTTTTAAAATGCTGTGTCAGATTAATTATTATTTTAATTAATATTTAATAATATATATATATATATATATATATACATTTTTTATATTTTTTTGGATAGAAAGATTCTAAGACTCACCAGTTGCGATTCCTGGCATCAAAAGTGACAACTCCATTTTCATCAGGTGTCCACTTGATACCTTAAAGAGTGTATAAATGAATATGATTGCAGTCTCCTCTCCATGAGAGAGGGAAGGATTTCTGTGTTCATATGTGTGTAAGATCTGGAAAGCCTGAGTTTATTGGTTTTGTTACTGTGTCAATAGTGTGATGACATGATGATGAATGAGAGAGGCAGAGAGAAGAGCCTGAGTCACTGTCACCAGTAATTGGTAACTCCAAGTTACACCAGTAACTCGCTGTCCTGTGTCTGAATGAGCAGAAATGCATGTTCAAACACTGTCATTTTTGTCTTATATGTTAATAAGAATAATCACTGTGCTTTCATGCCGTAATCTGCAATGGTGCATTTAAAGGAGTGAGGCTGTTGTGTGATGATTACCAGGGTAAAGTCTGAAAAATCCTGTTGAACTGCCGAAGTACTGCCAGGTTAGAGTCGGGTCTTTCTCAGAGTTACTGGTAAATATGTCATTCAGCGCTTCTGACATAAACACCCCGTTCAGAATATCAGGATCTGAGAGACAGAGAGAATTTGCTTGATCTTTTTCTAATTAGGGATGAAAATGGCGTTTAATTTCTGCGTCTCACCTTTGTTATAGACATTGGTGGGCACTTGTATGACACTTTGCTGGGTACTGACAGGCAGTTTGTTGAAGTGTTCATTCTCCTCCAGAGGAAATTCTCCCCCCAGAGCCACATAGCTCCCATCCTCATCCAATGTGTTAATCATCATGGAATTGTAGTAGTCAAACTGCAGAAGAACAAGCACATTTGAATATAGATTGACAGATGAATAGAAGATTGAGGGGGTGGAAGAATGGATAGAGAGCTCACCTCTAATGTTGCATTATATTCATGATAAAAATCTGCATCCTCTACTGTCTCTGCCATTCTCTATATAAAACACACACAAAGATTTCCATAAATAATTATTTTGATAGTAAGAATTTTATCATTTTATTACTAGAGCATCATGACAAAATACTGATATCTCTGACCTTGACTGATTTCATCTTTCTGCCCAGCATGTTCTCCATTTCTTCAGCAAATTCCTTAACCATCTTTAAACCATCCACTTCCCACATCTTGACTATGGGCTCCACATCTTTATATTTCTACACACAGACACATATACTGTACATTTAATTAAATAAAAGGACAACATGCCATAGTCTTTTTAGTTTTTAATATAAAGCTAATTATAATTATTATAGACTAGAGGGTTAGCCTATAATAATTACTCCTAAAAAACAGACAAAACTTGGCAGATTTAAATAATAATAATATACATTTTATTTTATAAAGCACCTTTCTACAAACTTAAGGTCACTTTACAACAGGCAATAACAAAAAAGAAAAAAGCATGAATCTGTAACTACTGAGGAACTGTGATAAGCATCACAGCAATTCACAAACATTACATTTGTGTAATTCTAAATGAAGGACAAAAGCTTTATATGCGCTGTTGAAGTCAGTATTCGGAAAATAACAAACAGCAAATCACTCTGATAGCCGCAAAAGCAAAGGCTGAGTTCTAGATCATTGTTCAGTATCAAAGGCCAATGACAGCAGAATCTCAATCTGTGTCCAAAGCAAAGAGTCCTGCTCTTTGCCCGTAGGCCAGGAGGAAACAGGAGGTCAGACAGGGATAATCCACCTCCACACAACACTGTAAGAGTACCAGGCTTTATTCTGAGCTTAGATTAGAGACACAAAAACAAAAGGGGGGAAAAAAGAGAGAAAAAGAATAGAGGGAGGAGGAGATGCAGCAGTCTGGGAAGGTTAATCCTCTTCCTGCCTCACTGTTCAGGCACATCCTGCTGTTGTGCTGCACTAATAAAGGCCCTTAAGGTAAAGCACGCCCACATATTCAGGTCAGATATAAACTGGTCGTTATATGACTCTCTGGTAGGCAGATGGGCTGCTTGCAGGCTGTGGTTAACCGTATAAAGTAATGTTAATTAGAGTGTTGTGAAATTCAAACAGATGCCAGATAACTGGACACAGCTGCATCTGACATTTACCAGCAGTTAGACACATTGCTAACGTAGTGATTTACGGATAAAACTGCAGATTATCAGACAATATCAGAAATATCCCTGATTGCTTTGTTGTTCGGATTGAAATGAGGGGGTAAAGTCAGATTTTCAATAGACAAACCTTCTGTAAGAGTTGAGCGCCTGAGTATCTGTTTGACAAGGCCAAAAGCTGTTTTCCAAAGGCATCGGCCCACTGTTGAACCCTGTTCAGAACACAAACAAAAAGCATTAGCATTACATCTTCCTTGCATTTTATTTAAGCAATATCATAGCCCGGTAGACAACAGAATGTGAGCATGAGATTACTTTTAAGATAGATCTATAAACAAGAAGTTCATATCAAATAACTGATATTTCAGGAAATGAAATGTCTGGGGGAGAGACATTTTCATTCTAGAGAAAATTTGATTGGACAAAAAAATCTGTAGCATGTGTCATCAATATAGGGTCAGTAAGATTTATTTATTTATTGGAAATGAGAGATTAATATACTTTTCAGCTGAGATGCATTAAACGGTGACTGGAAAAACATTTATAATGTTATACAAAAGATTTATATTTCAAATAGATGCTGTTCTTTTGAACTTAATATTCATCAGAGAATCCTGGAAAAATGTGGTTTTCACAAAAAAACATTTGAAAAGCTGTATTCTACATTGATAATAAATGTTTCCTGAGCACTAAATCATCATATTAGAATGATTTCTGAAGGATCATGTGACACAGAAGACTATAGTAATTCAGCTTTGTATCACAGGAATAAATGACATTTTAAAATATATTAAATTAGACTTATTTAAACAATATTTAAACAGTTATTTTAATTGTAATAATATTTCACTGTTACAATTTTACCAGATTTTGATGATAAAAAAATGCAGCCTTGATGAGCAAAACAAACATCTTTCAAAAACAATAAATTGTATCTATATGTTAGCAGATATGGACTAAAAACTCAATTAAAAATAAATAAACAAATAAATTCCATAGGGTCAGTAATGCCAGGGAGATTCTTGACATCAGCAGCAGTATGCAGTTTCTTTTAAGATCAGTGGTGGCTCTCAAAGTGGAGGATTTCAGGCTGCCGTCATTAATTAATGATGAGGGAAACCGTTGTTAACGAAAACACAGGGTCACAGTTTTCTGACCGCTAAAGATTTTAAGCTTATTAAAGCTTGTGTTGGTGTTTTCCGTAGTTTGAGTTTCAGGAACTACATTAGCTCTCAGAGAGACCAAAAAGTCTGTTCAAGCTGTGTGTGTGGATTTTGAGTGAATGTTGCCAGTGGAGGTTAAGCTTTGGCTTACAGTCTTTTGGCTTTATACAAGGGGTGACAGGAGGTGTGCAGGTCATGACCTGCAAGCATTAAGATGAGATTTGGAGAAATACTGCAGTTCTGTGCAAGGAATCAAAGGAGTGCTTTTAGTAGTTCATCTATAAATGTCTGAGGGTAGAGTGCAAGTGTGAAATATTTATGTTGAACTTAGCAATAAAGGTCTCTCTTACATCGTGCAGATCTTGTATTCATGGGGTTGCTGGCATGTTGAGACAGCTAAGCTCATGCAGAGATGAACTGAACTCATGTTTCAGGTGATATCCTCATCTGAGCTTGTGTTTGGATGGTCCAACTTGAAAACAGCACCCAGAGCAGTGTGATGCTCCTCATCCTACCCATCAACCCCTGCCACGTGCATAAAACAGCAGCGTGTACGATCTCCAGCTCCTGAAACAGACCTTGTGCGGTAATCCCAGTCTGGTCTTGATATCAAATTGAGCCCAAAAGACACTCCGGAAGCTTCAAAAGTGTGTTTTTGGGTGACACAGAAAACCTCCCAGAATGTTCTTCTGAAATAATGACATCTGGCTCTCTTCTCCCCATTCCTGATCATCCCCACTTGATGCTTGCATCTCATCCTTTCATCATTCTCTTCATCATGCTCTTTCTTCCTCAGAGTTTATATGAATCCTCTAAGAGTCCCACCGATGATGTCTTGATGCGGACTGACTGGCCAGCTGGCAACTTTTGCAGTTCCACCTGTCTTTCGGATTCTCTCACCCTCATGTTATGTTCAACGCAGCTGGGAGGAAGTGAAACAGAAGCAGATACGCTCACACACTCAGTTTGCCCTCCCCACTATGATAATCCACATGGATTACACTTCACTCCCACAGTGGGGGAGAGAGACAGAGAGCGAGAGACGTAGAAGATGTAGGGTGGGTGAGGGGCAGATGTATTGGAATAGAAAGATAAAGTGAAAGAGAAAAGGGTGAGCGAGAGGAGGGCTTCTGTAATAGTGTTTCTGGAGACAGTCTGTCCGGTCAGAAAAAAGGAAACTAAACCTTGCAACTTTCTCAAACACATAGAGTTTATTTGGACACAAGTGTCCAAATATGAATGTCAATGCACAAGTGGAATCTGTGCACAAATGATATTTACTCATCTTAAATTTAATTTAAACAACTGGTCCCAGACTGATTTTTAGGTGATGTACACTACCAAAACTTTGGGGGCAGGTTTTTTGTTTATTTATTAGTAAAACACTAATATTTTAAAATTATTACAATTTAAAATAACTGTTTTATATTTGAATATATTTTAAAATTTAATTTAATTTATTCCAGTGATGGCAAAGTTGATTTTCAGCAGTCTATACTCTAGTCTATACTGATTTATCAATGTTAAAACAGTTGTGCTGCTTGATAATTTTATGGAAACGGTGATATTTTTTTCAGTATTCTTTGATGAATACATTTAAATAATTTTTTGCAAAAGAAATCTTTTGAAATATTATAAATCTTTACTGTCATTTTTGAACAGTCTAATGCATCCTTGCTAAATAAAGCATTTTGTTAAAAAAAATTAAGTGTATGCACAAGCGTTCACACAAGTGTGGATCATCACATTAATCATGAAATTACACTAATGTTTGACATCTACTGTAGAAAGTGTCCAAATCTTTTTTTCCTCATTTAAAACCATATCTTTTGTTTGACCATTTTAAACTATCTTCTTTTTGTGAAATAAAATGGGCTTTTACTTATTTTCTTCAAAACTAAATCTATACTCCAGTAAAATCTTATTTGACTGTAATAATAGCAGTATGATTTTAATTAATAACATCACTGAACTACATCATCCTGCTTTATTTTAAGCACTATTAAAACACGTACACGCTAGATTGTGAGTGTCAGTGTCCAGATGTCATGCTCTAGATTTTCCCCACTGACCCAGTTAGTGTAAATAACAGCTTCCATCCTCCAGACAGATACACACCTGCACTGAGTGTGTGTTTGTGCTTGCAGATGTGAGCGGAGGATTTGTCTTGTGACAATGAAGGCTGACACAGTGACGGTGATTACAGAATGACACATTTTATACTGCAGGAGAGGATGATTTTAAGCTTATTGCAGAATATTTCTTTTGAGAATGTTTTTTAAGAATTGAAATTTATATAATTATGAATATAAATGAAGACTTTTTTCAACAAGGATGCTTTAAAATGATCAAAAGTGTCAATAAAGACAATTGCAATGTCACAAAAGATTTCTATAAAATACTGTTCTTTTGAACTTTTTAATTGATCAAAGAATCCGTTTTTACAAAAATATTAAGCAGCAACTCTTTTAAAATACGCTAAAAAAGACATTTTAAATTGTAATAATACTTCACAATAATATTACAAATTTCTATTAAAAGCCTGCATATAGAAGAAAACCTGCTAATTTCAGCATATTTATTTATAAATACTTACACTGTGTCTTAACCAGGCATCTGGCTTGGACTCTTGTGAATTATTTTTGATAGTTTTGTTTGTGTATTAGAGTTATTAAGTCTTGGCGTAGAACTCCATTATCTAAATGTCACAAAACTAAACTCTACTGATGTCCAACTTAAATGCTGCAATAAAAACAAAAATACTTGACAGGAAACACACATGCATGTGATCCTCCCTTGTTTTTGTATTCAAACTGTTGGGTTATAATGTGACAGTGTGTGAGTGGAATAAAGCATGGAAATCAGCTGAACCCAGCACACCCAGTCAAGCAGGAAGGGTATGCTTAGCATCTTTCACACACACTGTAACTGTAGCACGTGCACTCCTGGCAACACTCCGGCTGCTGCCATGCTTATTTAGATTAAAGCTCTTATTTGAGATTGATTATGAGTTCATCAGCACTAATGTTTATGATAGCTGCTTGCTCATAAATCCACACAATCAGTTATTAACTGGATACTGTACGCCTGCAGGATCTCTCATTAACAGGGTCCCCACAGCATTTGACCAATCAAATACAATGATTTTTGCAGTCGTTGGTAATTACTGGATAATGATTTTCATTTGTATGTCAGGTAACAACTCTTGGAATTAAAGATATTTAAACAATTATACTTATAAGTGTACAAATGTTGACAATAAAGCAAAACAAAACTGAGATTTAATGGAGAACTGTACAAGACAGTATATTTATAAGCAAGTATCATTAGCTAGTTGATATGTATAAGCTGTCCAAAACTAGAAAGATTTACACTCTATTGAAACTGCTATAGATTTTATTGGTTTCTAAGCTAACTACACTCTTAAAAATAAAGGTGCTTCAAAAGGTTCTTCAAGCGATGCCATAGAAGAACCATTTTTGGTTCCACAAAGAACCATTCAGTCAGAGGTTCTTTAAAGAACCATCTCTTTCTTACCTTTTTATAATCTGAAGAACCTTCTTTCGCCACAAAGAACCTTTTGTGAAACAGAAAGGTTCTTCAGATGTTAAAGGTTCTTTATGGAACCATTTAGACAAAAAGGTTCTTCTATGGCATCGTGAAGCACCTTTATTTTTAAGAGTGTAAAAGTCCAATGTGCTCTTATGGTTAGACAAACCTGTCAGCATGCAGGTTACACTACTGTTAAAAAGTTTGAGGTTAGTAAGATTTTTTTACATTTTAAATCAAGTCTCTTGCATATGCATTAATTTGTAGTATTTGCATTAATTTAAACTACAGTAAAAACAATTTTGTCAGATAATATTACAGTTTAAAGTTATGCTGCTTAATATTTTTTGTGGAGACTTTTTTTTCCAGGACCATTTGATGAATAGAAAGTTCAAAACTTGAAAACATTTTTAAATGTCGTTATTGCTGATTTTGATCAATTTAATGCAATCTTTGATTAATAAAAGTAGTAGTTTCTTTAAAAAAAAAAAAAAAAAAAAACTAAAATAAAGTAATTCCTGACCCCAAACTTTTGAAAGGTATTCTGAAACCGTTCAAACAGGCTTCAACCATAACAGATCCATGTGTAGCATGTTTAATTTTGATAATTCATACATTAGTATTATCAACTAGAAAACCAGAACATACTCTGTATGGGGTGTTGGGGTATTATTTTAATAAGAAAAACAAATGGAAGAAAATTAAATTGTCAGCTTGTTTTCAGTTTGACAAGCTACTTGGGAAATACTGATGGCATTGTCTTTTTTTTTCTTAAAAAAACCAAACAAAACTGAACCGAAAAATATTCCATCATGTTGATATAAGAACCATAGAAAAATAGAATATATAGTATATGTACACTTTTGTTTGCATATTTAAACAATAAATGTTCATTTTAAAGTGTGACTAAAATTAATAAACAATTTCTGCTGGCTTGTAAAGGGATGAAGGCAGTTTCTGCATGTGTCAGCTGAGATATGAAGATGCTAGAAATCAAGACAAGACATGTTTGCCTTATCTTGTCGTTTATCATGTTATTTCTATTATATTTGAGGCTAGGGTCCTGTTTTCTCTATCTTTCTTTTGTGGGTCTGTTTCAATATGCAAGGATAAAAATCCCTTCACAAAAAGAAGAATGTCTTTCCACTCAGATTTTAACATACAGCACATTTCTTGCCCTGTTGTCTAAAAGATAAACGTAAAATCTATAAAATTCTTCTTTCAGAAAATTCTAAAATACTTAAGATTGCCCCTTGTGTACAAGTGGCAAATTCAAAGCTGATATGACATTCAGATCATTCAATTTACTGTATGAAGATCATACAATTTGCAATCAAACTGGTTTTCCCGTTGTGAATCTGGTGCTGAGGTGCTCAGCTTCTTGGATGCTACATTCAGAATAGTAAGGTAGTCCTGAGATGGGATGCCAATATGGGCTCAGAGCATGACAGCTGCATGTACGTGTACACGTGCTTCAGAAAGGTTTTGAGCTGGAGTCTGTAGCGAGACGGGAGACATATGCTTCATAGATGGTGTCCAGGAATGAGGCATCATTCTGAATCACAGAAAGAGAGAAACAACCCATTAGAGGTACACAGTCAAACAGACTATATACACTACCATTCAAAGCTTGTGGTCAATGTTTTTTTAAAGAAATTAATATTTTTCATCAATAATGCATCAATCAAGACATTTATAATGTTACAAAAGAAATGTCTTTCTATTTCAAAGAAAAACTTTTGATCTTTCTATTCATCACAGAATCCTGAAAAAACAAAGAATCAGTTTCCACAACTGTTTTTAACATTGATAATAAGAGATGTTTTCTTTAGCACCAAATCAGATTTCTGAAGGCTCATGTGAGACTGAAGACTGGAGTAATAATTCTGCTTTGCCGTCACTGGAACACATTACATTTTAAAGGGGTCATATAATGTTGCTAAAAAGAACATTATTTTGTGTATTTGGTGTAATGAAATGTGTTTATGCGGTTTAAGGTTAAAAAACACCTTATTTTCCACATACTGTACATTATTGTTTCTCCTCTATGCCCCGCCTTTCTGAAACGCGCCGATTTTTACAAAGCTCATCGATCTGAAAAGCGATCCAGTGCGTTGTGATTGGCCGAATACCTCAAGCGTGTGACGGAAATGTTATGCCCCTTACCATATTGTGATGCCGTGTCCCGGCCGGAGCGACGAGACAAAAACATTAAAACCCATTATAAACGAGGCATTTGTTGCATCCAGTGGGGACATAATTACGGATTATAATGACTTACACTGTCTTTTTATGCATTGCATTGCGCCGCGTAAACATAAAACCATGTCTGCATTTGTGATCAGAGAAATGACAAACTACAAATGCTACTCTACACTG